AAAAAAAAAAAAAAAAAAAAAAAAAGAAAAAATAAAATAAAATAAACATATTTTATTAATGTTCCCGAAAATATACTTTAACGTGAATTCTACAACGAATTTCTAAAAGATCGAAATTCGAGCAGCGTCCAATTACATTTATAGCCTCGAGAAAAAACGTAATCTTGATGAATGTGCTCGAGGTATGTGTTTTCGTTTTCTCCGATAAAAAGTAAAACACTTTGGAAAATTTTGAAAAAGAAAAAAAAAAAGCTTAAAAGAAAAAAAAAAAAGTAAGAAAAGAAATTAAACAAACAAATGAATAAATAAATAAATAAATAATAAACAAACTAGAAAGATGAGATAAATTTCCTCCGATTACACGACTTCTATATCTGGATTTAACTTGTTCTTCTTCAAGCGACAATGCCTATCGCATACACTTGCATAAATATGTGTACATGTTCGAAGACTTCTCTAACGTTTTTATGCGTGTATATGTGCAAAGTGCATAGAAACAAGTGTGCATAATACATATATTCTTTGACTAGTAAGAAAAAAAAGGTTGATGGAATAATATTATAAGAGACAAATGAAGAGATATACAGTTTTTTTTGGGCTTTTAACACCTCGATAATTAATTTGTTTTTAAGCGAAAAGAAGTTTCTTTAAAAAAAAAGAGTGAGTGAATAAAAAAAAAAAATAAAGGAAGAAAAAGAGGAAGAAAGAGAAAGAGTGAATGAGAAGGGACAACAATAAGTGCAGCGAGTACTATTTATTGTATACAACATACTTGACATACTTTCAAGTATTTGTTCAATGCAAATACTTCTTTTTATTAAATGACGTCCACATGAACGTAAAATGCACCTTTACTGTTACTTAGTATGCATTCAAGAAAGTTTTGATTAAACATATTGCGAATGTTACGTGTACGTGCGTGCGTGGCGTGCATGCGTGTATATGTGTGTGTGTTTGTATGTGTGTACACATACCAGAAATGAGTTTGTAAACAAAAAAAGAAAAACAATATGATAATCGTGAGAGGAAGATTCATAATTGTGACACATACAACTCGACGTATAGAGATGAAATTATTTTATCTTTTATAGAGATTTAACAATTTTTCTTAACATTATCGCACGAAAAGCTGTTCCTTATTTTCTTATCTATTTTTGAGTCTTAATTTAAAGGCTTGTATCTCTAGATAGTGATTAACTACTGCGGATAAAAGCCATTTGTAATATATATATATATATATATATATATATACATATATGTACGTACGTATGTATGTATATATATATATCTATATATGTGTAAGCGATACATCGATGATTTCAATCGATGTTGTGTGTATATGTTGCGTAATAAGTCACAGTTATAAATGAACAAAAAAATCATGTAATGAAAAGAAACCTTTACTTTTACGATCACGATACGTCTTCATATTATTGGAATACATATTTCATATCCTCGTGAAAGAAAGAATAATTAATTGAGTATGTCTTGTAGTATTTTTTCATACGGACAAATTATAAATCTCACATAACTAACATAAAATATGATTGATGATCGTGATCGCCAATCGTTGTTCCAATTGTCTCTTTCATTTCCTTCGAACAACGTGCGAACGTAAGGATTCTTTTTACGAATAAATTCTTTGCATATAAAGAAGATAAAATAAAAGAATAAAAAAAAAAAAACGATATTCGATTAGATTGTAAATGAAGATATTTGGAAGAAGATACTACGTGCGGTCACTGGGAAGTTCAAAGTGAATGAAGTGTATCGTGTTATGTAAAATGAAATTGATTTTTGAGAGTGTTTTTAAATTACATCGAGTTACGAAAATCGGTTTAACGTGTTCTTTGTCGATTTTTATTTGAAATAATTTTCACAATATAAAAGAACTCGAAGAAAAGATGATGGGAGTAAATTTGTTGTTGTTCTTGTTGGATATGTTTTTTTTATTTTTCAATGCTTTCCGCTTTTCTTTCGATTCGTATTTTCGAGACGAAATGAGAATACTTTGAAAACTTCGAAACTTGTGAATCCGTATTGATTTATTTTGTTGTGGATTTATATATTTTATGCTTTTGATTTGTTTTTTTTCTAAATTTCTAAACAGAATTATAATCGAAAGTTACGTACGTATACATATATATAATAAATAAAAGAAATGTGAAAGTATGCGAACTATGAAGAAGATACTGTGGGTGATCAAGAAGTTTATTGTGGAATGGTGTTTGACGAACATTACTATTAAAAGTACTAATAGAGAATTCAAATGAAATCTTATACATAATAAGTATTAAACTGTACATTGTGTTTGATTGTACTTTGTGTTATATGCCTCTGATGCTGAATATAATGGAAATTCAATCGGTGCACGTGTCATTATTGGTTTTATCATATTTCGATTACATTTATGTATATTACCTGTTTAATGAATATCTTTTTCGTTTTATCATTATTGACGATCAGATTTAAGCCTTTGGCTCATCGATTCATTTTCAAGTGTATTGTAATAACCGTTTGAAATACATTTCAACTAAAATTCGAATTTAAGAACCTTGCGAAGCAACAATTATTATTGTACATAATTAATAAAATTACTTACTCGCATATACATATCCTTGTTTTAAAAATAGCGGGAACAAAAAATAACAAGTTATAAAGAAAAATAAAATATTGCGTTAATTAATTTTTATTTATATTAAATACCGATATTATGTTTTTAAAGAATTTCATTTTATAAAAATAGTATTTTAACTAAGAATGTTAACATTAAGCAAAACATTTTAAGAAAACAAATTTAATTATTCGAATATATTGCGAGATTCGATATCTCGAAGAGCGCCATCTTGAATCACGTGATTTGAATCGAATGATAAGACGAAGCAGATCAGCTTTGACTACGGTGTTGTCTGTTTCTCAGTGATTCTAACCTAAAAATTAGTTATGGCTGATACAGATCAAGATTTAGGAGATCGTGGTGATGGTGATAATGTTAAAAACGACAAGTTATTTACTTTGAAGAAATGGAATGCCGTGGCTATGTGGAGTTGGGATGTCGAATGTGACACATGTGCCATTTGTCGAGTACAGGTTATGGGTGAGTGTATTTTTTTTTTCAAATTTTTACTTCTTTCATTTTAGAGATTATTATATTAAAATATTATTAACAATTATTTTTTAATAACTATTAGTATAACAATTTGATTTTCCTTTTTAATTTTTGTTTCTTTTCATGTGTCAATTACACATTCAAATACGGTCTTAAATTACAATTAGAATAAAGAATATGAAATGTTTTAAACAAATGTTTTGTTTTCATGAATCATTTAGTTTATGTTGTGTGGTAGTTTCATAGAAAATACATTTTGAATATATATGTATTTGTTAGTATGGGTAAAATCCAATTATTTGTACTGTCGATGGATAATTATTGAGCTTTAGAATAGAAAATGTTATAGCGTTATACTTTTACCTTTTAAACAGAAGTAGATTAGAGTCGTGTTTGGTAAATTATATCAATATTACTGATGTTTATTATTTACATATTATATTGAATATTATTATACTTCGCACTAAACATACTGATGCTTTATGTATACCTATTTCTACCACAACGGATCAAATGACCCATCCTTAAAAAGTTATATATTTTATGATATATATATATATAGCAAAAAATATAATGAGATAAGAAATATATGAGATAAGAATTCTTGACTCAACAAATAGCACTATAACTTGTAAAAAATGGTACCAAAAATTTCATAATTGGTCTTTTGACTGGTCATGGTATATGTAGTGTTAAAATCATAATTTTAATATATATGTAGCTTTTTATATATAAATTATTTTGTTAAATTTTATCTAATAATATGAAATATTTACTCTAATAACTGAAATATTATTTTAAGAATTGATGGAATTATTTTCTAAGGAAAAGGAAGTCATAGAAAAGATTAAATATGTAAAGAAATATTTTTCATTATCTATTAATTGTTTTAATATTTTGTACAAACTTAACATGAGTATTAAATTATCAAAAATCATTTTATTTACTTTTTGTTACGGTTAATGATAATAAGGAATCATTTTGAAATAGTTATTTCAACAAGTATAACATTTTTCGTTCCTAAAATACAAAGTTTTTTTACATAATGTTCATGTGGCAAATAATTGTGAGGTACAATAGTATTCTGCTCATATGAGATTCTCTTTAATTAGGACTCACATTGTTATAAATGTACATTGGAATAATTAAAAAATTAAGCACCCTGATCATCTTATAAAGATGAAATGTATTCAAACTCATGATTATGTATAATAGACTTTGCGTCATTTATATTAACATAGCAATTATTCTAAAATATCAATTTTAATAAGATCAATAATAATCTACTTAAAACGGTTTTGCGCTAATTTTTTTTTTAATTTTAATAATTATTTGAATTTTTCTGTTACTATTTCACCCACTTTTCTTCTTTACAAACTATATATATATATCTTTAATATATATATATTTGCTATATATTTGCTATTCCTTTAATTCTATTTTATATTTTAATTCTTATATACATATGTTTGCTTATATAAGCTAACGGCTATGTACAATGTTGGTAACTCGCATTAATGGAGCACCATAAGGATACATTGATTTGATTTGAGAATTTATTGCCATTAAATGAGACAATTCGTCCTTCCATGAGTACTTATTTTAAAATTATTATTTGTGCATTTGCATAGAATGCATAATATAGATATACTTCTGTAACGTATATCATTTATCAAATGCTTCTAGAGCATTTCTGCATTCATAGAAAATTTCTATTCTAAAAATATATTTAAATAAATCGTAGAATAACTATCTTGAGGTAGACCTTGCAACACTATAAAGTAATAAAAACAAATACTATATACCTAGTCAACAGCAGATTTCTTTCACGCCACTTTACGCATGTTACAAATTTCTAACTAATCGACTTGTTCGAAAACAATAGACTGCTCATTTTCTTAAAACGAATATGTTCGCTAGTAACGAGAACAAATCTTCGGAATTAAGATAATGAATTAATCTTACAATGATTAACAAAAAAATGTTCAAGTCGAAGGGGGTGCACTTAGTGCCTTCTCCTTCGATTACTCGTATATAATTAACGACAATTAATTAAGAGGAATTATCAGAAGAATTATAAGAAAAATAAAAATGCGAGGAAAGGCATATAAAGAGATAGATAGATAGATAGATAGAGAGAAAATAGAAAAAGAGAAAAAGAGAAAGAGAGAGAGCAATCACGCTTCATCTCAAGAAGAATTATTCTAAGATCATTTACCTCATGCTTAAGCTTGGATCGCTTTTGCGCGATAGTTGTTTGTCAATAGCTTATACATTCTAAATTGATCATCATTAAAAAAAAAAAAAAAAAAGGAATAATAATAGATAATATAAAACGGATAAGAAACTTACAAAAAAAGAAACTAGAAAGAAGAAGAAGAAGAAAAAACAATTAGACACCCATTGGGGTTGGTTTCAAGTTAGCTACAGCGCTCATTCTTCTCACTGGTCCTGCGAATCTCTTTTCAATTTCTTCAAGTGACCTACCACGTGTTTCTGGTACCCATATATAAACGAAAATTACACCTAGCGCACAAATGATACCGAAGAACCAGAATGTTCCGTGTGCGCCGGTCAATTCTTTGAAGTCTTCATAAGTTTTTGTAACTACGAATGTACACGTCCAGTTGAAGGCCGTGGCGATACTAGCTGCTGTACCACGAATTCTGGCTGGTAGGATTTCACCCATCATTAACCATGGGATTGGACCAAATCCTAATGAGAAACCGATCACGTAAATGATCATGCTCAGCAATGGTATCCATCCGAAATTGGATACGTCAGCATCACTCATTTTTACATAGAAATAGGAACCAAGAGTGAAAAGTGTTATGAACATAGATATCCCACTGGCATATAGAAGCATTTTTCTGCCAAGCTTATCGATCACCACTGCAGCGATGAAAGTTGATAAAAAGTTGACGATACCAACGATTATGGTCGAGATATTTTCATCGACTGTGCTACCGGCATCCTGTGTACAGAAAAAGAAAAGAAAATTAGTAGATACATATCTCATGGTTATAAAAAAAAAAAAAAAAAAAAACAAAAAACTAATAATACAAGGGACATATGATCGATTAGATACGAACCTTGAATATTTGAACGGTGTAAAAGATAACAGCGTTGATACCAGACATCTGTTGGAAAAACATCAGACCCAATGAAATCAAAATGGGCTTGACGTGGCTTGGTTTAAGTAATTCTGATAATCCATTTTGCATATCTTTCTCGCTTTCTACATGTAATTCTTCGATCATTGTCAATTCTTCGGTAATATCTACATTTTTACCGCGTAACCATTGGAGAGATTTGCGTGCGCGTTTCGTTTTACCCTTTGAGATGTACCATCTTGGAGTTTCGGGAATCAAGAACATCAATATGAGGAATGGTATTGGAAAAATACTACCGAGCAGCGCAAGATATCTCCAATTTAAATACATGCCAGCTATGAAACATGTTAGAATACCTGAAAGAACAATTCGAATAAATAATGTTAAAAGAATTAATTTTACATTTATGTGTTAGAGATCAAAATGTGTGTTGCGTTAAAATTTATTACTTATTTTAATTAAATTTATTTATTTAACTTACCGGTATTACCAAAGACCGTAGGCAATAAACCTAACGATCCACGAACTTCAGGTTGTATCGTTTCACCCAGGTAAACCGGAAGTGATAGGGTAGTTATTCCTACACAAAAACCGCAAATAGCACGTCCGGCAAGTATCATTGGAATATTTTGAGCCAAACCGATGAGAACCCAGGCTGAGAAAAAAAAAAGTAAAGAACAAATAGAATATTAATTATATTTTAATGTATATTTAGTGTGGAAATAAACTGAACGTTGTTATTACGTGACAAATGTCGTGATAATTGACGTAATGTATTTACAAATACAACGTACTTTATTATGCATGGATACAGTTAAAATGGGGGATGGGGGAGAAGGGTAGGAGGAAAAAATGTGATATAATAACAGTTAGAAAGAAAAAGAAAAAAAAATCTTTACATTAATTAACGGATGAACGGATAGATATTACGTTATTTCATATTCTACGCGATATACTGTTTGTTTTATCAAAGTGCCACATCTTTTAAATGATCGTAAGCATAACTTTGCAGATTTATTACGCATATTAAATGTCTTTGCACGTGGGAGCGATAATGTTAACTATATATACGCACGTAAACGAGAAACCGTTCGAATCATTATAAATATACTGAATTGTTTAATCTTTTCATTTCAAGGCCTCCCGTAGCTGAACGTAAATCTTTTTATATTAATAAAAAAGAAAAAAAAAGAAATTATATTAATAAAAAAAAAAAAAGTAAAATAGAATAATGGAAACGAGATAGAGGAGAATTTTTTTTTTTCTGACAAAGAAACAAGTTATTTACTTTGTTTATTAAGTGGCGACAAATTGCGAAAAAATATCAAGGTTTCTAATCGATATCTATCACGATTTTATATAAATAAATATTTAATTAAGTCTTAATTTTTTTAATTAAGTAAGCGAGGTTAAAGAAGTAATACGAATGAAATGATTTAATTATTCACGACAGTGTGCCGAGGAGAAATAATTCATCGATGTGCGAGTTTTATCATTGATGAATTTTTTAAAGTATATATTATATTATACAAATCATAATATATATATATATATATATATATACGTAACGAATGTTTGTTCTTTTTAAACATCTTATTTCACAGCGCGGAATTAAGATTGTAATATTCTATAACACAATTATTTCCGGGTTACCGGATAAACAAATTTTTCCCCCCAAAAAAAAAAAAGAAATAATACGAAAATATTAAAGAATATAATGCAATTCGAAATATTTACCTACGATAAACGGCACAGCAGTTCCAAGAATAGTATTTCTTCTTCCTAAATATTCAATGAATGGACCACCAGCTATACCACCGATAAGTGCACTCAGTGGCATGATCGATCCAATCCACATACCCTGTAAAATGTCACAATGACAAATATTGATTAGTTATATTCGTGTGTTTGAAAATACCGAGATCATTTATTTAAAATGGTCATTCACATTATAATATGAGGATTCAGGTCGTAACGCACATAAGAAATATTTGTGCGTTAGATTTGTCGTTGCGTTGTAAGATAAAATAGTCACGTACGCACGTGAGATGACGAAGAGTATAGGATATCTACAATCGTTATATCGTCCTTCGAATTTAAATGAAGCCGAAAGAAGAGGGGTCAAGGAAGCAATCCCTTGAGATTATTTATTACAAGTCATTGCCATTCTTAATTCGATTTTTGTTTGTTTTTAAATTAAAAAAGGTAACAGGATGATTTTGAAGCTCGAAGTGAGATAAAATAATTTAAAAGTGTCATTAAACAATTCATCGGATTGGCTGATAAGTAATATCAGAGAATATACTTGATCAATTATATTTCAATTAATAATCTTAGTATTTATCTTTAATAAGTCTTTATTGCATTTGTGGTATCGTAATAAAAATTTAGTATAGTTATATAATTATATATAATTAGAGTATAATTATTATATCTTGAAATAATGTTAATATAATATTTTTGAAATTAATTAATTATTAAAAAGTTTGATATATATATATATATATATATTATTTATTGTAATAAGTCAAGTCAATAATTTATTTCGAGAGATAATCGCGAACACGCAAAAAAATAATTTGTAATTGTAAAAGACGTGAGCGTAGAAGTTAACTCGCGGTGTCATTGTTCATTGCAAATAGTCATCATCGGCTTTGGCGTGTCCATCGATTTGACCAATCCGGTTGGACATCAGCGAGGTTCAACATTCGTTCGACCAATCGAATTGTAATCAGGCCATCGCGCCCCTGACCACGCACCAATGACGCACTTAAGGTTAAATTTTTAATCATCTATTGACCTTTCTAATATTGAAGATTATATGTATTATACCTTTTGGAGTTCTCTATAAGGTTCTCCAAGCGTAACAAATCATTCGTCTTGTTAATAATCTTGAAGAAAAATTATATCGATATATATTGAGTTGACCAATAAGCAATATTGGAATCTCCATTATAAAAAATACAACTCTTGTTTATTTAAATATTAAATACTATGAAGTATTTCAGTAAACACACACACAAAATACTTAACTATTATGAAATACCAAACGAGATATTTTTGCAATAAAACAATACTATACTCTAACGATAAGATATTAAAATATATTTTTATTTAAACATATTTTGCTTTTATTTATATAAATAAAGTGTGAGAAAAATATCTTAATAAAAAAAAAAAAAAAAGTAGAATAAATTATTATTTATTTAGTTATTAAATATCAAAGATATTCATTAAAAAATATTAGTATTATTTACTATAATAAATTAAATTGGTCAAACCCAATATAATAAATATATATTGCTTGTAATCGTAACTCATCAGTATCGAATTTAGAATGATTCCCGATTGCACCACACGTTTCGTATGGAATAGATTGCTTAGGTATAAATCGATCAATTCCGTATCAGTAAACGCAAGTGTTGCTTACGTTAAACAAATTAGCAAACAGTAGTTTTAATTTTATTAAGAGAAAATGTATGAGTAAACCGAATTCTTTTTTTTTTTTTTTCTTCTTTTTTAAATAATACTTAATCTTTCACTAGTATACCGTTAAAACTTTTTATTTTCCAAAATTTGTACGTTTAGTGGTTTGCTTTATTTTTCTTGAAACGATTAAATTTAAATTGATCACGGTTATCGTTACTTGATATTCGAACTAATAAAATGCGTATGTACTCGTATTAACTTCAAATTCTTCATGAATTAATTTTCCACGATCCATTATTAATGTATTATCATTCAAAAAAAAATGTTGTAATCAGGGAAATATGCGAAAACATCCGTGCCGGTAATATATATTCGACAACCTTGAGTGTTGGACGTTTACGAACGTAGGATAATGCTTAATGTAAGTTGTATTTCGACGAAAAATATGTTATTAAAAAAGTTTTTATCGCAGCACGTACGCTTAGAAATATTTTTTTTTTTTATATGAAATTATTCTTTCTTCCTCCACCACCTCCCCCTTTTTACTTTTTTTTTTTTTTTAAGTTCCTTGAAATAATACAATTTTTAACGTTTTCTAAGAGTTTCTTTTTATAAAAGAATAATGAAAAATTAGAGCTACTATGATTGTTTTACATTCATACATTAATCGTTCAATGTATAATGCGTACTTGTTGAGATAGACTGATAATTATAATAATAATCGAATGAAATGACTATGTAATAATAAAAAATGAGAAGAAAATGACATTAGTACTCACCATTTGTTTGGTAACCTCAAAGTTTGTATCAGTTGCATTGCTTTGCATAGAAACAAGGGCTGGCGACGTATAGGAAGAGGCAAAACCCACAACGAGGGAACCCAATGAAAGTGTTAAGGCTGCCAATACCTTTAAAAACACAAATGAAATAATATTTATTTTGTTCTATATATGAATCATTCACATCCACACACACACATATATATATACACAGCACGAATGCATATACACGCGCGAGTGTACACTTAGAGTTAACGTTTCTGTCAGTTTTCTTTTACTTTTCTTTTTGTCAATTCATTTTAATTTATTTCTGCTTTTTTTTTTTTTTTTTAGATTCGCGATCGTTAACGGTACGATCGATGAAGACAAAACACTAAAAAAAAAACACATTAGAAAGTAAATTGTTCATAATACTTCGTAACTTCCTTCTCGCGTATATAAATGAGGATTATAATGATCATCTAAGGATGTTGCAAACGATAAGTTCCTTTTATCAATCTCGAGATCATCATCAACATCATAATCTCATCACTATTATCATTTCCTATTTTCTCGTACCTGAGTAAAACATGCTTTAGGTGCTGGTTTGTTTCCCGGCACTTCTATGTTAATATGAGTATCTGCTCGCATTAAAATCTTCATGGTTATGGTTATTCAATTTCTCTTCCAGGTTTAAAATCGAAATATTTACAATAAGTCGACTCGTTAAATAAATACACACGTATTTTCTTATTTGCAGTTGTAATAATAATAATAATAATAAAGAGATAATAAAAATAATAACAATAATAATAATAATAATAATATTAAAAAAAATTTAAACGATATAAAAATATATCACTAAAATCTCCGAATGTAAAAATCATTAACACACTTCAGACGAAATGAAAAAACTTTGTTGAAGTTTGTCGGTGATTCAAAAGAATCAAGTTAGAATATTACTACTATTCGAACGGAAGTTATCGGTGTCAACGGTATAATATAAGCTATTGACACTCATGGATTGCCGGGTGGTTCTCCTCGTTTATATAGAGGCAATATGCTCTCATGGGGGGGCAACCCATCCCTTCTCTTTTACAATAAGTCACTGCAAGGTCTGTCGCGTTCCGTTCGCGATGTTTAACAAGTTAGACGTAAGTATAAGTATGTACTCGTTAAAATTAACTCGATTCACGATTTATACAATCATTCGTATGAATCGTCCTTAACGTAGGATCATCATCAATTTTTTTCCATTTTTTTCTTCTTTCTTTTTTTTCCTCTCTTTTTATTGTTTCTTTTTTTTGTGATTGAAAATGTGGAAGTAGAAGTATATTCTATCGATCTAACGATAAATGTCACGTATTGAGTTTAATTATTATAAAACTTTTTTTCTTTTTTTTTTTTTTTTTTTTTTTCATTATTATTGTTTTAGGTACTATTCTATATACCAAGATATTCCGCGATTTACACAAAATAGGATAATTAATTAACTATCTATTGTGTATCTTGAAATATTTGAACAAAATTATATAAACGAAAACTTATCGATAAGATTTAT